CGGCACGCCGGGCCAGCATGGCCGCTTCCTGCCCCGCCGGGCGCCGGCCGCGGGGTTGAGGGACGCGGGTACACCTCCCGCCGCGGGGCCGCCCGGCATGGAGGGGAGCTCCAGCTGCGAGAGCCTGGGCGCCGGGCGGGCGGCGGCGGCGCGGCCGCCCAGCGGCGACTCCCTGTCCAGGTACCGCCCGCCGCAGAGCCATCGCCCCCGCCCGCGGGGCTCGGCGGCCGGGGACCGCCGTGGGGCGTGGGGGCTGAGGGAGGGAGCGGGGAGGGGCCGCCAGGGGAAGGGAAACCGAAGGGATGGAACTGGTGGTGTTTGCTCCCTCCGTGGGCAGGAGGCTTCTGCTGGGGTGTACCTGCGCTGGGAGTGGCCGTGGGGTGACGGAGCAGGAAGGCAGGCGTGGGCTCTGCTTGGCTGTGGCACAGCCTCTCTGTCTTTCAGGCCTTTAAGCAGAGCAGGAGATGCTACCTCCACCACGCTCTCGGTAAATCCCTGCATAGGCAGAGCAGTGTCCCTGGCCGTGGTGGCTCGGTGGAGGGCTTTGGGAGATGGGCAGCACAGGTGAGCGGTGCTGGAAGGGCAGGGCAGGCGTGGCATCCCCTTGGAAGCTGCCTTTCAGCACGCTGCCGTGCCCACGCCAGGCCTTGTCCTCTGCAGGAGCAAATTTCCTGTGGCTTGTTGAGCCTCTGTTTTTTTTGCCGTCATGGTTTTTTCTGAGAGCTTGACTTTGCAGTATGAATGGCTTGTAATGCCATGTGGGTAATATTCAAGGTTCATAAGCGACAGAAACTGAAAGGAGACTTTTGTGTTCTTCCCACTGTCCGTGAACAGTGAAATTTGAATTTAGTGACTGAAAGCACATCCTGCTTGGGCCTTGTGTTTGATGGAGAAGGTTGCAGTAGGGTAGCAAGGGCAGGCACTGAGAGACTGATAGGGCTGGTGGTGTGGGAGCCGTGGTGTTGTGGTAGAGCCCAGGAGCAGGATATCCTGGTGGCTGCTGAAGGTTGTTCTGTCCTGTTCTTGCTGCCCTTGCCATGCCCAATTTGTAGGATTACTGGGTAACTCAGGATGAAGAGATCTCAGCATCCCTGCATCCAGATTCCCGCTCATCCCAGAGACAGCTTTAGGATCAGATCGGGCTACTTCTGGTTTTTACCCAGTTTGGTCTTGAAAACCTACAAAGATGAAGTGCACACAGACTCTCTGGACATCCCGTTGGCATCTCTTGTGTATCTTCCACTGGCACTGTGGGCACTGGGACTGCCTTTTTGGTGCCCCTAAAGCAGTCTCTCCCCAGTCTCTCCACACAGGCAGGGTGCTCCAGCCCTTCTCTCCCAGTGGTGCTTCCCTGTACTCCCTCTAGCTCCCTAGTGACTTTCCTGCACTGTGAGGCTAATACCTGGATGAAGTAGTCCAGAAATGCTCTACTGAAAGCTGAGCAGAGCTGGATCCTTCCATGGATCTCCTGGCTCTGCCTCTGTTCTTAAAGCCCAAGATGCTGGTGGCCACTTTGTTGCCAGCATCTCAAAACTCCCATGCTTGGCTATTACCCAGCTGCTCCTCAGACAGGCAACACCCAGTTTGCACTTGGATTTCCTCATTCTTGAGTCCTTCACGACTCCTGACTCTCATTTCACCCTTCTTCATCAAATTCTTCTGTTCTGGTTTCTGTACTGGTTTCCTTGTGCAGTTCTACCAGTGCCCTGCCAGAACCTGCAGGCTTCTTTCCCCCTTACCTAACTGACCTAGTATATTCTTCTTTTTATCTCTGCATCAGCTCAGGCAACTTGGACCCATCTGGAGGTCATTCACTGTAAGAGGCCTGTGGACACTAAAGAGAGCTTAACTCAGAAGAGCCAGTGGCTACAAGGAAGCTCCTGCTGAGCCTCTCGGCAGCGTGCCCTGCACAAATGGAACCGTGGGGAAATTGAGATGATAAATCTGTTGCTGTTGAGCATGCACAAGGCTGCGTCCTCCAAGCCCTGGAAAGGCTCAGAATCTTAACAGATTCCTTGGGATGTAAAAAAGGCTTATTCAAAAGCTTTCAGAATCTCAAGTCTCTGCTTGAACATCTAGAACCTGTAGAAGAAAGCTAGCCAGTTGGGAGGGTTTAATGTACTCCAAACAAAATATAGGTATTTGAAATAGATTAATGTTTTTCATCTGTAATTGTTAATAAAAATACCCTCATCTTGAGTTGGTGTATGCTGTGAAACTTTTTAGTTGAAATGGTTCAAGGTTAGGGCAAAATTACAAGAAAATAAAACCAGAGTCTTGTAATGAGAGATGCCTGGTGACCTTCAGAATGTTTATTATCAGCTTCCCTTGCCAATCTAGTGATGCATATGCACCAATAAATAATTGCCTATGAATTGGACAGTAGATTGATTATCATCAGGTTTAGGTTTTTTTTTTCATTAAAGCTGTATTGCAATTTGGATTTTATACATCAGAATAATTCTCTGAAGCTAATTGGACTATTTGTAGGCATTGAAATATTCTTATTTTAATCTCTGTGACTGTGATCTAACAGCTAGACCAGCTTCAAATTGTAACCTATGACACATTTTCATCAAATGATTTTGTTAAAAAAGAAGAAGTTAGCTTTGGAGATAATGTGAGGAACACAATGAATCATGAGGATGCTGTCATCAGTTTTGATAATTCATTTTATTTAAAAGGAACAAAAAAATCAAAAAATGACTCAAAGGTCATTCATCCCAAATCACCATTACCTAGCCATATGAAGCCTTGCTGAGTTGTAGTTACTGAATTGTTTTATGCAAGATTTAGAAGACTTGGAAAGATACTAATATGAAATGCATACAGCAGTGCATTCTTTAGATTCTCTCGGCTCCTGGTTGGAAGTGTTATTATTTCTAGAGGTACTTAAGATCTGGCTCCTCAAGGAGACTTGCTTGATGGAGTTTACTTATACATAAGGCTGCTCACATTTCAGTAAGTGTTCTGAAGAACATTGTAGGTTTGTGTTTTAATAAAGCACATGAGATGGGGCAGTAAGGGCATTTGACAGTGAAAGTTGCTTTGATATTTTAGTAGACCGTAGTAATGTGCAATACTTGTGACCCTGAGGAAGATGTAGGAATAATTAAACAAATGTTACCTACTTTCTGTCCCAACTAGAAAAGCATTTGAAAAACTCCTAATGGGACTTACAGTGTAGTTGTTTGTACAGGGTAAAAAGCTGCCAGCTCTCTGTGAAAATACCGAGTTAGTTTCAGATGAGCAGGTCACAGCTAATTAACTCAGCTGCCCTCATAGTTGTGCTGAAACAGCTGTTCTGCTTTTCAAGTCTCAGCTGTCTGGCTTTGTGTGGCACAGCACCGGGTTCTGCAGCTCTCTGTGGTTTCCAAAGGTCAGTACTTGGGGTGGACATTCCCCTTCCATCCTGTTCTCATGGAAGACACATGACCATGAGCCAGTTACTCATAAAGAGTTGTGGTGGTATTTGACTAGCAGCTTGCTCGTGTGTCTGCCGTGTCTGTCCAGGAGCAACCCATGAGAAGAAGGAGTGAGGTAAAACACTCATACAAATGTTTGATGAGCTACAGTATGGTTATGTCCAGAAGAACGAGCTTTTCTCTATGTTATGGTCTGCTTTTATATCTCTAGAATGGCCTGGGGATCCTAGGTGAGTGAATGATAAACACATTTCAGCTCTGCTGGTTTTTCAGATTTCTTCCAAGACCATTCTTAAAATGAATTTGTGGGTGGTTTGTTGTATTGTTGTTTTTGCAGATTTGAGGTTGCATATGGACCCTGTGACCTCTGGAATTCAAAAGGACAGCCAACAAAATTCTATTACGATCTTTTCCTTTTGTGAAAGGAAAGCCAGGTAGAGTTGTATGTGACTTTAGCAGAACACATGACTTTAGGGAAAAAGGTGGTAGCAAACTTCATATATTTACTTTCCATGAGAAGTGATTAGGCATTTTGTTGTGCAGCCTAAGTGGTTATGTTCTGTAGTTTCTGAATGAGCATACATCTCTCTGTATTCCTCAGAAAAAGCATATCACAGTTCAGTCTGAGCAATGGTCTAGTAAGATACATAAGAGGCTTTCTGTTAGGTCTGCTGAAGATAAATTTGTATTGCCTGTGCAAAAGTGTGGAGGTGATTGTACTGTAAAAAAACTGCTATAGGAGAGGTCAGTGATATTTCAACATCAGTATAAAATTAGAGAAAGATAAGGCAGTGGGTAGATATTTCCCACCAGCATGTCTGTAGCAGTGCTTGATGTTATGGCTTTCTTGGTTGCTTGTTATCACCTTTGTTCTGGTGTTTATCATCCACAGAGGTCTGCAGACACTGCGGATCCGATGCACTGCACTTTTACTGAGGCATATGAGAGCAATCATGCTCCTTGTCTTTATGTTTGCAGGGATAAGTCTGAAAACATAAACTCGGTGTAAATCAGTGCAGCAAGGTCTGTTGAACCAGTAACTCCATGAGGTATGAACTCCCTCCTTGTCTCAAATAAGGCTCTGTCAATACCTGGGCTGATTTAAGGCTGTGTTGAAGGAATTCTTTCCCCATGGGTGAGAGTGATGCTGAAAGGAGTTGGTTGGCTGAGGAGGGCTTTAGCTGTAGCACCACATTGCTACCAGATGTGTAAGCTTTGCTGATTGAGTTGTTTTGTGATGAATCATTGAAGTTAGAGTTTGAAAGGGAAGATTTTTGCCAGTTCTGGTGTTTGGTGAAATGTGAGTAGCTGTCATTTTCCTCCTGGGCTTTGAGAGCATTTCTTGCATTTGATTTCTTGTAAGTGCAAAGCAAGGTTGTTACATTAAAGACAAGTACATTGCAGGCTGAGTGTTGGTAATGAACTGATTTTGCATCTCAGGAGCTTGACACTAAGCCTACAAACAATTAGCGACTCCAGATGGGTTCATTATCATTGATTTTATTAAATAAGTGATAATTTCTAACACTTACTTGCAACTGAAGTCCATTCTGAGACAGGGGTGGTTTTTCTGGTGTACTGTGTATTGTGAAGATAAATAGCAGTTCTGCCTGCAAAATATTTGTAAAATGAGGAGAATATTTTTGATAGTCTCAGAGTTTGGGGCAGAAAATAATGAAAATAACATTTCGTGAAAAGGACTTTAGAACTTTTAATTTATAGCAGTGAAGAGAAACCATTGCCTCAAAAGAATTC